CCGGGGCAGGAAAGCTAGGCTTTCCCTCTCAGCCCCCGCCCCACCGCACTCACTCTGCCACACGACGCTCTTCAGCCCCCGCTCCGTCGCCGGCGGCGCCATCTTCCCAACACCGCCGAGGTGCAGCCACTGGAGCCGGCCAAGCTCGGCGGCCCCGCCCCCGCCGCGTGACGTCACGCGCGGCACCCGCGGATTCCCGCCCACTTCCGGGCGGAGGCTGCGCAGTGCGGGCGGGTCGGCCGGGCAGTCGTGCGCCCCCCGGCGGGGGCTCTGTCCGCGGAAGGCCCCGGACCTGGGGGACCCAGCAGCGGCGCGTGCGGGTCGGGTGGGAGAGCGCGACGTCCGACGCTCGGCGTCCGCGCTCGCGGTCCTGGAGAAGGACGTGCCTGTCGCGAAGCCGTTCGCAGCGCGCGGCCCTGGGAGCGCGCTCAGCTACCCGCTAGGAAAGGTGTCCCGCGGAGGGTGGTGTCGCTCCGTTTTCAGGACACAGTGATTGTGTACGGCTCCGAGGCCCCCTCCAGGGCGCTCCTATGAATGAGAGACCCGCTTGCGAGGCCCCTTAAGCCTCGTTTGAGGCCCTTCCCGGCCGACGGTAGTCGGAAGGTGGTCGGAAAAGCGAAGGCCTTAATGAAGACCTCGCCGTACAGGAGCCCGCAGGACGGCGGCTGTGTCCTCAACAAGCAAAAGTTGACGTACGAAATTGTGTGGGAGGCGTCATCAATGCCTTAGGGGTCCAAGGAAGGGATCGTTAAAGAAAGACGAAGGAATTACTGTTAAGAGCCTGTTCACAAAAAAAAAAAAAATAAATAAAAACAAAAATAAAATGAAAATAAAAATAAAAAAAAAAGAGCCTGTTCACAAAGGAGGTGATTTGAGCTCAGACTTAGAAATTTGGGGCAGAAAACTACTTCCTGAGAGGAATCTTTTGAGGCGAAATCAGTTAATCACAAAATAGGGGCGCCCGGGGGGCTCCGCGGTTGAGCCTCTGCCTGCGGCTCAGGCCATGACCCCCGAGACCGAGGATCGAGTCCCGCGTCGGGCTCCCTGCGCGGAGCCTGCTTCTCCCTCTGCCTGCGTCTCCGCCTCTGTCTCTCCTGAGTAAATAAATAAAATCTTAAAAAAGGAAAGACTTTCCTGCAGATTGCAAAGAGCCAATGATCTTAATAAGTGGAAATGGTTGGTTACTATACTAGTAATGATAGCGGCTACTCTTTACGGAGTGCTTCAAGGTGAGTGGATTATCTCACGGATCCTCCTTAAAGACAAGGAAACTGAAACTTGCCCTGGAGGCCGCGCTTGCGGTGGAACGCGGACTGTGTCTAAGCTACACACACAGAAAGCAATAGAGTATCCTGTCTATGGGATAATTTACAATATATGCTCTGTAGGAGAGAAAAGGAGAATGAAGAATAAAAGCAGCCATAAAAGGGGGTCGAGCACAACCTGTGGCATTAATGGCTTTCCCATTCATGGCTTGTATGGGAATGGAAGCTGGAGCCCTGGCCTCTTTTGAACTTGCTTTAAATGGACTCAGCTGTTCAGGATCTTAAATGAACACATTATTTCCCTCTCCCTTTTCAATTTAAAATCAGATTCTGCTTAGCAGAGGAGGTGGAGCCCCAAGCCCTAAGAAAAAGGCATGACAGTGCACTCACCCTTCTAAAATGGAGCTCCTTGCCCTAGAGAGGCAAACCAAGGCAGAAGAGGGAGGTGGGTGAAGTGCCTCCATCTCCTACCTTGAGGAGAATGACCAGGTGCCCGGGAATGACACAGAAACTCCCTCTGGGGCTGAAAGTTTGACTTGGATCATGTCGGGTGCAGCTGTGGCTCACGCTCCTGAATGCTGGATTACCAGGGAGCAGTGTGTTCTAATGGAACAAATGTGTGCCTTAGCTGCACAAAGATAACAGGTCCACAGCACAAGATGCTGTCTCTGCCTTTTAGAAGCATGTGACTTAAAAAAAAAAAAAAGCATGTGACTTCAAACAGCTGTTTCATTGCATTTGTGTGTTAAATATGATAAAACCTCACATAGCCCAAGATGAAAATCCTTATTGCCATTTTACAGATGTGAAAACTGAGACTCAGAAGCTAAATAAACCACTTAAGACCTCAGAATAACCCCAAGACCATTGCTCTTTCTGTTGTACCATACTGCATACCCTCCCTTGCTCCCTTAGTTTCGTATAACCTCCCTGAGCTGTCTCTCCGCCTCTTCTAGTCTGTTTGCCTGGGCAAATTGGACAAGGAATTTGAGTCCCCTGAACATGACAGGGCAGAATAGAAGGTCAAATCCAACAACACTGGTCAGAGGCAAAACACCTGCTTCACCATCTTATTCCCAGGCCTTCTTCATTAGTAATGATGACTTAATCATGACAATCCAGATAAATATCCTCCATAAAAGTATCATGGATTAGTAGTTCTCATCAATGCTCTACGTTGACTTGGCTATGCAAACATGAGTGGGGTACTTGACCTTTCTGAGTCTCATTTTCTTTATCAGTATAAAAGAGTAATATCTAGCTCATAGAGTTGTTCTGAGAATGAACTGAGTATGTGGGAAGCACCTAGAATAGAAGCACATTTTATGTGCTACATCCGTATTTTAGTTTTAGTGTGGACCACCTTGTCTTCTGTGGAATTCTGACCAAAACAGCCCAGCTCAGATGCCTAAAGTAGATGGCCGTTTCATTTTGTGGCCCTGGTATTCATAAGGTATAGGTGTACTGGTCCCAGCTCCCTAGCATCCTAGAACCAGGGATTCTGACCTACATTTGGCCTTAGCCTTTGGCCATTCCAATCAGCAATGAACACAGACAGCTCTATTTGGAAGAACACTCTGCTGGCAACTGGGCTCAGCACACAGTTTTGCATGGACCCTGCACCACAGCCCAGAACACTGCCCCAGTTCATGTCTGCCCTCACAGGGCATGGACCCACTCTGAACCTCATGGACACCCCCAGATCTTCTCACCAATCTTTCTTTATATGCCACAGCTGTCTACCTTCTGTTAAAGAGGTCATTAAACTGAGGTGGTTCTAATGCCTTAGCAGTCTGTGTAAGCAAACCAAAACCTACACCTGTAAGTGTCTCAAGGTTAAGAAATCAAAATGTGGGGCATCTGGGTGGCTCAGTTGGCTAAGTGTCTGCCTTCAGCTCAGGTCACCATCTCAGGGTCTGCTTCTCCCTCTCCCTAATCCCTCTCCACCCCCACTCATGCTCTCTCTCTCTCCCTCTCTTCTTTCTCTCTTGCTCACTCTAATAAATAAATAAAATCTTTTTTTAAAAAATCAAAATCTAAGGACAACCAATCAGCCAATTGGGCTTTCCCAAATGTGGAAACCACTTAAGCTACAGCCAATCAATATCCTTGCTTTGCTTCTCTCTTCTCTATGAAACTGTTTCCTTGAGATCCTGTCAGTGGAGTGCCCGTAACCACTTCTGGTTTGGTGCTACTAAATTAGAATCAAGTTCTGCTCAAACTCGTAAAATGTTTAATATGCCTCAATTCATCTTTTAACACTTCCTAGCCTCCTGTCACTGAAATTTTGCTTCAGGGAAGAACTCGCCAATGTAAAACCTTTTAAGTTTCTCAAACCCGGCCACATGTCACTTGGCAAGTTTGTTAAAAATATAGATGCCCAAGCCTGGGCCCAGATGTACTGAATTAAAATCTCCAGAGGTAATGTCTGGAAATCTTTATTAAGCAATGAGTTCTTCAAATGATATAGATAACACCTACTTCAGCTCCTGTTTATATACTGTTGTTTAAGAACAAAACTAGGGCAGCCCTGGTGGGGCAGTGGTTTAGCGCTGTCTTTAGCCCAGGGCCTGATCCTGGAGACCTGGGATCGAGTCCCATGTCAGGCTCCCTGAATGGAGCCTGCTTCTCCCTCTGCCTCTCTTTCTCTCTCTCTCTCTCTCTCTCTCCCTCTCCCTCCCTCCCCCTCTGTCTCTCATGAATAAATAAATAAAATCTTAAAAAAAAAAACTGAATTAAACTCAGCCCTACTCTGTGGTGCTCTCTGATGCAACAAACTCCATTTTTCCTACTCACATTACTTTTTTAATAAGCTTTCAAAGGACATTTTCTAGGTACAACAGATTTAAATTATAGATCATTGTATTCTCCCGAGATGAAAATATTGCAGTGGGAGCATGGGGATACGACCAACAAGATTGATGATCCTCCCCACAAAAGATGTGTGCCTGTCAGTCTGCCACTGTTGAAAGCTTTGCCTTGGCTGTCCCTCCATTGAAGTCTTTGCTCACTCACAAGCTTGACTATAATCCTTCCAGCAACAGGCCAGCAGCTATACTTGCCCAGATGTTCACGCAGAGGTAACATCACAGAATGCTTTGACTTGGCAAACAATATCTGCAACTTGCTTTCTTCTTACTTGAGATGATTTGTTACTACAGCTGTGGCAGCTGTGGCTCTCCAATCTACGCCAAAGTCCTGCTGGATGTCTTGAGATGAGCAGTGTCTCTGCGTGGTGGCTGGATATCAAGCTCTCCAGGAGTGAACATTTGCAGTCCTTGAACGGCAAGTCCTGGTGTCCATGAAATATCTATAAGTGAATGTGTTGAAGTCTGTGTGGTGTTTGGATATGAAATCCCAGAGACAGTTTCTGCTAAACAGACCTTTCACACTTCCAGAATTTTCCCAGTGTGCGAGCACACTCTGGCAGTCTTCCAGAGCACTTTCTGGATTAATTTCTCTGAGTCTTCTCCATAGCAGAGCTTGAACTCCTGTGCAGATGAGGACATGCCTGACCTTGCTTGCCTTCAGGAAGTGGAGTCAGAGTTGTCCTTAGAGGCCAAAAGAGCTTATCCTACCCTACAGGCATTTTTGTATTCTAATAGAGCTTTTCCACCTCTATCACACTAACAATTGAGTCAACCCTGCAAAAGATATGGGAAAAAATTTTTAAAAGAAAGCCAAAACACTTTGCTTTTGACTCATTTCAATGTAAGTTACTCACTAAGTCTGTTTTTAGCCAGGGTTCCCTGTGTCATTCTGCATTTCTTTTCCCCTGTAAATCACTGGAAGGGAAGAAGCCACAAGATACATTACATATGCAGACATTTTCTTAAAAAGCCCTCAAATGTCTCTGAAAGTTAGCTCAGTATTTTGATTCAAAATGCTGTTTTTGTAGCACTTCACAGCAAGAAAACAGAAAATTAAGACAATCTGAACTGCTGAAAGGGCAGGAAGAAACTAACCAGTAGGTTCCAACTAATCCAGGTGCTTCAGGAAATGACCCCGCCCACAACCTCTACCAGTTCAGACTGCCTTGACTCAGGACAAAGAACTTTCCTCTCCAGGCCAATTTGCTCTGTTCTCAGACAGCTTTCAAATTTTATTGATTCAGGGAGCTGTGTAGGGACAACATACTAAACCCATTTAATTGCTGAGGAAGTTTTGGGGAGGAAAATCCTCCTGAAAGTGCAGGTGAGGCAAGATGCTGAGGACTAAGAGTGCCTCCACAGAGTGATGTCAGGCTACCTGCTGTTAGAGCCCCATTGCCTCAGGTAGACTGTTTTCCTTTCCCTTCCAACGTGAATCAAATTCCCAGTACCAAAGTAGCTTCTTTGAATTAGAGCTGTGGTTCTCAAACTTTAGCGTGCATCAAAATCACTCAGAGGGTTTATTAAAACAAAGATTGCTGGGCCCCTGACTCATCACTCATTAGGTCTATGGTGAAGTCTCACAAATTGCGTTTCTAAGAAGTTCCCAGATGTTGCTCATGCTGTTGGCCCTGGGGCCACACTTTGAGAGCCAATGAATTAGGGTATTATGAAGACTGACTTTACAATGCACATATCCTGGAAGTAGCATGCTAAAATGTTAATAACTGACACATGGGGGCGCCTGCGTGGCTCAGCAGTTGAGCATCTGTCTTGAGCTCAGGTTGTGATCCCCGGGTTCTGGGATGGAGTCCCAGATAGGGCTCCCCGCAGGCAGCCTGCTTCTCCTTCTGCCTATTTCTCTTCCTCTTTCAGTGTGTCTCTCATAAATAAATAAATAAAATCTTAAAAAATAATAACTGACACATGATGTAATAGAGCATGATATGAGCTTAAACGGATCCTGAGTTAATAATAACTATCATTTATTAAGTGCTTACTATGGGCCTGTCATTATGTCCTAAGTTTATACCTCATAACACCTGACGAGTTGACTATTTCAATTTTCAGGAAACCTAGGCTGAGGGAGAATTGAAGCAACTTGCCAGAAAGGGTAATAGTGGTAAGATTTGAACCCAGATCTGTCTCTTAAACCATTCATGCTATTGAAAAGCCTTAGGATAGGGACATCTGGGGGCTCAGCAGTTTAGCATCTGCCCTCGGCTCAGGGCATGACCCTAGAGTCCCAGGATCGAGTCCCACATCAGGCTTCTTGCATGGAGCCTGCTTCTCCCTCTGCCTGTGTCGCTGCCTCTCTCTCTGTGTCTCTCATGAATAAATAAATAAAAATCTTTTTTTTTTTTTAAATAAATGTTTATTTTATTTTTAATTTATTTAAGATAGTCACACACACACACACACAGAGAGAGAGAGAGAGAGGCAGAGACACAGGCAGAGGGAGAAGCAGGCTCCATGCACCGGGAACCTGACGTGGGATTCGATCCCGGGTCTCCAGGATCGCGCCCTGGGCCAAAGGCAGGCGCCAAACCGCTGCGCCACCCAGGGATCCCAATAAATAAAAATCTTAAAAAAAAAGAAAAGAATAATCCAAGAGCCAAGGAAGACCAAAAGTCTTAGACCAACAAGATTCCCAAGGCTTCCCTTGGCCTATCTGGGAGCCCCATGTTACCCAGTGACCTAATTTGATATATGGAGGAGAAATGCTGAAGCTAGAGATAGCAGTTTAGAATTCCTCCCTAGATATAATGATTACATGTGATGTAGAAACTCTCAAATGATCTGGCTTACTCTTATTTTTGAGATTCTTGAGGATCAACTTAAAGAGAAGATTTCAAGCTTAAGCCTGAATCTTGCTGAGGCATGGAGAAGTGATGACCAGGGGCCGCGCAGAGGGACCAAGGAAGGGGAGAGTGGTGACCTAGGGAGCTACTGCCCAAACTCCAGAGTATCAGAATCACTTGGAACCTGATAGAAATACAGAGACCCAAACCCTATCCCACCTCAACAGCCTGGGCATCTACATTTTCTTTTTAAGTAATCTCTACACCAACGTGGGGCTCAAACTCACAATCCCTAGGGTCTAGAGTCACATGCTCTACTGACTAAGCCAGCCTGGTGCCCCCTGAGGCTACACATTTTGAACAAGCTTTCTGGTAATGCTGATGAATAGCAGTCTTTGAGTGATGGTTTTCAAGTTTGTTTTTTTTTTTTTTTTTTTTTTTAAAGCAGTGCAACTCTATCTTTAACAAAATCTTAGGAAAGGCCTGGATAACATATCACTCATCTCCTGCCAGTGGCCCCCGAGTCACTTCCATTACCCTTCTGGGGCTCAGGGGAACACTGGCTTAATACGTTCAAAATACTGGATATAGTTTCCAAAAATGCAGACCCAGGCCTGTGTACATTTCACTAAAGACCAGGGTTTGTGGTCATGAATACTGTGAGAATTTTTTTAAGTAATTTTTTTTTTAATAATTTAGACGTTTCCTCAGTTTGTTTTTAATAAGCCAAGCTGGTTTCCTTATAGTCCCTGGAAACAAAAACCTTTTAAAAAATAATAGGGCTTATGCTTATTTCAGACCTGCAGGTGGGCAAGAATTGAAAAGCATGTGTCTGCTGTCCTCAGAGAAGCAATGGGCCAGGAGAGGAAACAGAGAATAGGCAGTGGAGAGAGACTCCAGAGCCAATCCCTGCCAGTGGAAGGAAGTGTTGGATGAGGAGCTGGCCCAAACTGGGAGGCTCTCCTGTGGGGTTTACTGATAGGAAGACTTCATTTCTACCCCTACCCTCTGAAGTCAGCCATGTCTGACTGGACAAATGTCTGTGTGTGTGTGTATCCATCCTGTTTGTAGTTTGGGGTTGAAAATATTCCCCGGGGGTTTTCCCAAAGCCTCAAACCAAGCAGGCCCCTCCCTACAAGACATGGCAAGGATTCCTCATGAAGCAGCACATGCTGCTCACTGGGTTAGCACTCAGGTCTGTGGTCATCCCTGCAGCCCTTCCCAAGAGAAGCTTCCATGTGTGGCTACTAGCCTCCTAGCTGAATCAGTCCTGGGGATAGCCAAGGAGGCAGCAAGGGTTATTCATACTCCAATTCCCCTTTTAGCACCCTCTTTTCCTCCACTGGGCATATTCACCCTTGCAAACTGGAACCAGACATGTTGGCTCTTTGCAGGCTATTAACAGATTCCCTCTAACACTTGGCTACTAAAAGTGTGGTCAGACACGCAGCATCAATGTCACCAGCATCACCAGGACCTTGTTAAAAAGTGCAGTCTCAGATCCTCCCACACCTACCAAATCAGGATCTAGTTTTAACAAGGCCCAGGTGATTTGTATGCACAATAAAGTTTGAGAAGGTCTGCTCTAAACTGCAGTTCTCAGGGTTGGCTATGCTTTAGAATCACCTAAGGAGCTTTGAAAAATCCTGATCTTACCCCAGACCAATTAAATCAGACTTTCTGGGGATAAAGCCCAGGCATCAATTATTTTTAAGCTCTAGAAGGTGACTCAATGTCCAGCAGGGCTGGGAACCAGTCTCTGAAGTGAAGGATGAAGCGGCTGCCTCTACTGAACCATATTTACATTTTCCTGTGGGACCCTGGAAACTGAAGAGACTTCCGAATGCAAAGGAATTCATCCTAACTGGTGAAATCTGAGGAGAGACATTGCAATAGGGGAGAAAAGGTTGTGGGAGGGGAAAGCAAGAGTCAGCTTTAATCCCTACTATATTACATCACCCGAAAGAGCAACAACAAAAATTCTATTTTATCCATGAGAAAAGTGACTTACCCATTCCAAGTGTACTTCCAGAGCAGGTTACTGTAATGAATAAAAACAAAAGCATTTAAAATATATTAATGAACATATTTAAGATGGTGAAGATATTAAAAAAAAGATAGTGAAGATATAACTTAAAGAATAATGGGATAGTGAACCAAAGACTGATTAAGACCCAGCTTGAGTGATAAAAGGATATAACTACTAGCAGTATGACCTTGGACAAGTCACTTCACTTTTCTGTGCTTTAGTTTATCTGTAAAGTGGTAAGAATCAGAATGCCAACCTCATAAGTTTGTTACAGGGATCAACTAAGTTAGCATATGTAAAGCCCTCAAAATAGTGCTGGACACATACACTCAATAAACATTAGTCATTATTATCATTTATAATATTGTCTTAATTTTCAAAGGAAGGCACCACTGATATCAAAAAAAAAGAAACCCAAGAAACAAAACCAAAAATCTTTCCCTAGACACCTGTTTTTTTTAGCAGAGAGATGGAGCAAAAGTGGATTCCCTAACTGGAGTCCAGACACCTAATCCTTGCTAATGTGGAATGACTGCAGGCTTGAGATGGCATCCCAGCAGTGGGTATTAGAGTTCTTTTTTTTTTTTTTTAAGATTTTATTTATTTATTTGATAGAGCACAAGCAGGGGGAGAAACAGAGGGAGAGGTAGAAGCAGGCTCCCTGCTGAGCAGGGAACCTGCTGTGTGGCTAGATCCCAGGACCTGGAGATCATGACCTGAGTGGAAAGCAGATGCTCAACCAACTGAGCTACTCAGGCTCCCCAGGTATTAGAGTTCTAACTAACAAGGACTTCTGGTGATTAACATACTGGCTATAGGATCACAGGCAACCAGAGAAACTCATTAATTTATTCATTTTTTAATTTAAAATATATTGGGTGATAGTTGTGTGCTTTGTGTTGAGAATCCAGAGATTATCATTTATTAGGGGAAATAACACTTTCCCCTTTTCAATGACTATGACTTTTCAATTCAAGTCATATGATGTCATAAGGACACAGGTGATATGGGGTCATAAAGGAGGTAGCAAGAAGAATAAATCAACCTCTAGGATTTGGAAACTTTACAGAGGAGAAGAAATTTGTGCTGGTGGAGTTCCTTTGATGGAGGTGGAATTCCAGGCAAAGAGAAGAGTACTGCATCAGCTCAGAGGCAAGCTGGGCATGGTATATGTGTGTGGTGAGGGTAGGTGTGTGTGGCTACACTGGAGAATAGAGTCTTCTCAGGACAGATGTTGTGGAATGAGCCTAGAATTATATTGCTTAACCAGCAGGCATTTGTCACATGTAGCTGCTGAAAACTCCAAATGTGGCTAGTCTGAACTGAAGTGTGCTGTGGAGCATAAAATCTACACCAGATTCTCAGTATGAAAAAAATAATGTGAAATTTTTATACTGATTTCATGTGGAAATTATAATATTTTGGATATATTGGATTAACTAAAATGTATTATTAATTTTACCTTTTTAATTTTTAATGCAGCTACTAGAAAATTTAAATTTTTTTCATACATGGCTTGTACTAAATATCTTTTGGACCATGCAGGTGTAGGAAGACCAACTAACAGACCGACTATGAGGAGCCTTGAATGCCACGCTCAAAGTATTGGCTTTTTTTTAGTATTTCCTATTGGGAAATGGAACACTTTTGAGGATTTTTTTTAAAAGATTTTATTTATTTATTCATGAGAGACACAGAGAGAGAGAGAGGCAGAGACAAGGCAGAAGACGAAACAGGCTCCATGCAGGGAGCCTGACATTGGACTAGATCCTGGGTCTCCAGGGTCAGGCCCTGGGCTGAAGGCGGCGCTAAACCACTGAGCCACCTGGGCTGCCCATTTTTGAGGATTTTGAAGCATAAAAGAAACACAAATTCAGTGTCCTGGAATGACAACTCTGGTAATAGTATGGAGGCTGGCATGAGTTCAAGAAGACAAGACTGGTACAATATTCTAGGTGAGAAGTGGTGAGGGCCTATTATATAGCAGTAGGTGTAGGAGAGAGAAGAATTTGGATTTAAAAACCATCATGAGGGGCCCCTGGGTGGCTCAGTGATTGAGTGTCTACCTTTGGCTCAGGTCGAGATCCTGGGGTCCTGGGATCAAGTCCCACATCAGGCTCCCTGTGGGGACCCTGCTTCTCCTTCTGCCTCTCTCTCTGTATCTCTCATGAATGAATAAATAAAATCTTAAAAAAATAAAAACTGTCTTGAGAAGTGCTTGGCTGGCTTAGTTGGTAGAACATGCAACCCTTGAGTGTGGGGTTGTGAGTTCAAACCCCATGCGAGGTACAGAGATTACTTTAAAAGTTTTAAAAAGGGGAGCACCTGGGTGGATCAGGCAGGTAAGCATCTGCATTCGGCTCAGGTCATGATCCCTGGGACACAGGATCGAGCCCCATGTTGGGCTCCCTGCTGAGCGGGGAGTCTGCCTCTCCCTCTCCATCTGCCTCTCCTGCTCTCTCTCTCTCTCTCTCTCTCTCTCTCGCCCTCTCTCTCAAATAAATAAAATCTTCAAAAAAATAATTAAAAAGAAAATACATCATGAAGTGAACAGGACAGGACTTGGAGACCCCTGAGATCAGGAGGGTGAGGGAGAGGGAAGCTGACTCCCAGGTGATCAGCTCTCATACCTGAAACAAGGATGCCAGGAGGAAAATTAGAAACTGCAGGAGAAGATCAGGAGTTCCCTTGGGCCCTGAGGAGTTGGAAGCCCTGGGGCACCTCCAGGTAGAGGTATACGAATATGAATTTAGGGGTTACAAGAGTCAAATATGAATTTGAATATGAATTTGGGGTGAGAAGAAGAGAAAGGTTATAGATAGAGATGTGGGAGCCGAAGCTTCAGTTTTTTCATTTATGAATTGGAGATAATAAGATTTGTTAAATCTAATTCAGAGTTATTTTGAGCATTTAATAAGAGACTGAATGTGAAAACACTTGATAAATCGTAAAATGTAATGCAAATATGATGAAGCACTGTTATTGAATGAAAGCTTCTTTTTTTCCTAAGAGCTGACTCTCACCCCAAGAACCTATTCCTGTCCTTTCCCATAGGGCACTACTCTAGGCCAGCTTGTCCTATGGACAAGATAATAAAAAAACGGGGAATCAGAGCATGACAGCCATGCGCAGCAAGAACACCAATATGAGGAACTGGCCTGGTTCTGTCCAGGGGCCATTTGAGCCCTCGTGCCACCTATATGTAATTGGGAATTTTAGATTCTGGTTTTCAGTAAAGGTTTCTGAGCTAATATTTACTCCTCTTTCTGTGATCACCTATAAAGTTCTAGGACCTTATCATCTCGTTTCTTTACAAATTTTTTTTTAGAAATATATGAAAAATATATGACTATGCCCTGGGCAAGGTAGCAGAAGGTGCTGGAATACAGAGCAGGAGAATTGCTAACGTTCTTCTGCTAGTTCTGGTGAGATGGCAGCTGCTGACAGTCTTGTTTTGTGATCACAGACTGCCTGCCCACTCATATTTCCAAACCTAGCTTATGATTTATAAATTCATTTTTTCCCCTGATCCTCCAACTTCTGCTCAGTCATAAGTCTGAACTTGTGCAGAGATTCAAGTCTCTTAATTTCCAACATTTCAGGGTGTGTCTCATTATCTCTGAGACTATGTTAAAAATCTATTCCCAAACCTCAAAGCAGAAAATCATTTTAAATCCGCTTTACTATTTAAACAGCAAGCATCTGGTCCTTTTTCTGAAAAAGAAAGGGTCAGCAAGTGAAGAGAGGAGTGTCTCCAAATCATATGATAAGAAAGCATCACAATTCCAAAGAAGCTTGAGGTCCCTGTAGCCAGAATCCGCATGCAGGGTGTAGAAAATTTCACACCTCCCTGACCTTCTACATAGCAAATAAGTGTAATTGCTCTGAGTCTTGATTCACAGATGGAGTTCAGGGTTTTAAATAGAGGGTTTAAGGGCTCTATTGCTCTACCTGAATATATTTTTTTTGGACAGAATGTAAGCTTCAGTCCTGTCTCAGAGACTGGTGAGACCATCACGGTATATACATCCCCACAGGGTATCTCGGTGACATCACAAAAACTGAGGCCAGCGCTTGGGGCACATGTGAAAATGCCTTTGGAACCATAGAGGTCAGTGCTGTAATTGGCAGAGCCCCTGGAGGCTTGCCAGTAGATTCGAATGCCATTAGGGCCCAGTCTATACAATTTCACTCCCAATGGGCAGCAGGCACCTGCAGGAGAAAAACAGACACAAATCACTTATTTCATCATCAGATAAGCATGGAAGCAAAGTAAGTTTCCTCTAAAAACCTAAATAATGCATAATTAGAGCATTATTTGAAGGGGTATGCAAGTTCTTTCCATGATTAGAAATCCCTATATGATGGTGAGGTGGGCCATGAATTTTTAATAGAGAGCAATGGTGAGGCCAAAAGTCCCCACTTGGCAGCTACAGTATCTCAAACTATGTGAGTCAAATGCACAACATTCTTGTCAAGAGATTTCATAATGTCCTAGTTCCATATGATTTTAGTGGGATTGAATTTAAATTAACTGCATTCAGCTTTAATTGAAAAGACCTATTTTGCTAGCTGAGTAGCATGATGCCTGGGGAACAGTGACTTACATAGCAGTCAAGTGACCAGGCTTTGCTCACCCCACTTTGTCCATGCTAGCTCACTAGATCCTTCTTTTTCTCTTCTCTAAATGCCTTGAGCAGGCCACACACTCTGTGTCAAGCAGGGCACCAGATGGTGGACTACTCAGTAACTAAGATAAAAATGTTGTACAACAATTTAAATTAAAATCGAGTTACAGATAATTAGGTTCTTTTGATTCATTCTTCCCTTTAAAAAAAAAAAAAGCAGCTTTTTACATGGGAAGATAAGCAGCAGGCCATATTCCCAGAACTGGATATCAGGGTTAGAATTTAGGCAGCAAATCTGATGGAAAACAACGGGCCCAAAGAAAATATGAAACCCCTTACATATGTATAGCATGTTATAAATGCTTTCACATTATAGTTATTACTATTTCTCTTACCAATGAGGAAGCAAAATCAGGGAAGATAAGGCAACACAGCTTATAAGAAGCCATGTCTCAGGACGCCTGGGTGGCTCAGCGATTTAGCGCCTGCCTTTGGCTCAGGTCATGATCCTGGGGTCCTGGGATCGAGCCCCACATTGCAGGGAGCCTGCTTCTCCCTCTGTCTGTGTCTCTGCCTCTCTCTTTGTGTCTCTCATCAATCAATAAATAAAATCTTAAAACACACACACACACAGCAAAAACGCCATGTCCTTAGGCTCCTGGCTGAAGATTCTTTCTATTGTCCCTGGGGTGGCAAAATTTCAGCTCTCCCATCCCATGTCCTGGGGTAGACACAACAAACTGATCATTGTACTCTTATTAAAAAGGTGTTTTTTAAGGAGTTTTGTTTCTTTTTTCTTCCTTCCTTTCCTTTTTCAAAACAGTGCTCCAAAGCAGCCACTTCAGTGGACTAGAATCATCAAGAGAATCTTCTTTGCTAACCCTGTACCACTTCTACCCTCCCCTGCTATTCCTATTGATTTGGTCTTTGTGAAGAACAAGATACAAAACTGTCAGTAGACAGTGCTCCTTTTAGCCTGTTGAAATAAGAAACCATAGAAGGAGCTGGAGACGAGAGAGGTAATAGCGTAACATAATGAGAAGAAAAGAATTCAAGCCAAATAGAATGTGTGACCTCAATGCTTTCCGAGAACTCTTACAGACTGATTTACTCTGTGCTGCAGGTAGCTGTGTCATAGAAAAATCTGTCCTCCCTTCAAAAAAAGTACCCTGAGCCATGTTACCCAGGGAATTAATTCAGCAACCACCAACAGGAGCCTCTGAAGCTTTGAGGTTCTTTTTTTTTTTCTAAGATTTTATTTATCTATTCATGAGAGACACAGAGAGAGGCAGAGACACGGACAGAGGGAGAAGCAGGTTCCACGCAGGAGCCTGATGCAGGGCTCGATCCCCAGACCTAGGATCACATCCTGAGATGAAGGCAGACGTTCAACCGCTGAGCCACCCGGGCGTCCCTGAACCTTTGAGGTTCTAAGTTAAGAGGAAAACTGTAAACATTTTAGAAAGTACTATGAATGTATAATGCTAACTAGATGGAGATGCAGCATCTTTTTAAATGAGAAGGAGGGGCTTGTGTCTGGATTTATAATTGTCAAAATCCTTATTGGTACTCCATAGCTGGAGTTTAGAATTCACTTACTAGAGGAATAAGCTTGGTAGGTGCAGTCTGCCGTCAACCCAGTGGCACTAATCGCTTTTAATGCCACTGTGTAATTGATGCCACATGCGATGCATCCCAGGAGGCACTGGTTTTGATGGGTGAGACACTTAGACTGTCCAGTGTGTGACTCCAGAACCGTCACATAGGTTTGGGCCCCGGTCCCAGCAGTCCAGCTCACATTGATTACTGACTGGGTGACCTGAGTTACTGTCAGACCAGCTGGACAGCATGGCACTTAGATGGAGAAAAAGAGAAAGAATTGGGGATTTATTGTGGACAATAACCAAGAATGGTATTTTGTCTATATTTCATTCAATATCCTAAAGTTCTCAAACCTTCAATTGTTAAGCAAAATCTCATTCCCTCTGATACATTATTTAACATCAAGTGTACATAGGGGGTGCTTTCCCCCAAGAACGGTGTACTAACTAGCTGTGGGTAATGTGAGTTCTAGGTTTTTTTTTTTTTTTTTCAGATTAAGAAAGAAATCCTTGGTTGTTTCCCAACTTTAACCATTCCAGTTACAAATTTCAAAGCAATGGCTGCATTCACCTCTTCTCTCAAAATAACATTTCATAGCCTTTACAATTCAATGTGTTTTGCCTTTTTCATGTATTTCATAGTACATAATTGATATAAAAGCTCACAATATTTTTAGCCACTTAAGAATTCCACAGCCAATTCTCAGTTTTTCAGGGGCCCATTATTCAGGATATAGGATATCTAGAATCTTCCTGAATATTGGGCATTGTCTCTGATCTGTTGCTTTTTATGTTTCAACTCATAGTTCAAAGCTCCATATATTGTATAGAAGAGAAAATAATGTCCAAAGGCTTTAAGTAATTTGCTAAATTCCCCTCACACCTGGTGCTATGAAGCAGGAGCAGCGTTCTCTTATGTAGCTCTCACTATGTGTCAGGCACCATGCCAAGTGCTTGCAGCATTAACATTCACAACCACCCAAGGAATCTATGATCCCCCTCTCACCAATTAGAAAACTGAAATTCCGAAAGCATTTTATACAGAAAGATTTGAAAGGGCTGAGCCCAAGAAATAAAAAATGAGCCAGATCATTTGGTCACTTGCTAGTTGTTTTGGGAGAGGAAGTCACAGAGGAATATGAATTCAAATAAATGTTTTGTAGAATCAATGCTTTCCTCCTTTGATGTCAGCATATTAGAGTCTTCTGATGATATTTTTACAGAAACTGTGTCCAAATATTGCAAGTTTTATTTTCTAAGACCAGGGCTGTTCATGAGTTCAATGTATTTCTACCATACTTCGGGTAGATCAAATGAGAAAGTTCATGTCTTATAACAATATCTAAGGATGACGCTGAAGTCAATGTTCAGGCTGGTGGTTGCTACCTACCTGTTTCTAGGGGCACACTGTAGCTGGGCAGACTCTGTCCTGCCTGTGTTTCAGCCACCGCAGTGATGGAGAACATGGAGCCACAGGGCAAGCCCCCCATGGTGCAGGACTCTCCTCTGCTGCTACACAGATACCGCCCTTTCTCCCCCTGAGCAGTCACTGTGTAAGTGGCATCATCATTAGTGGATCGCCAGTGCACGTTAATTGTGGAGAAAGCATCCTTCGAAACATTTTTTATTTCAGGCCTGCAAGGAGCTAAGAGATTTTAGGTTATTAATGGGAACGGTTGAGTCAAAAAATATCAGGTGTGTCATTTGTTTTAAACTGATTTTTTCCCCAAATGAGATCATCACTACTTTCAACCTGACAAAGCACATAGGCCAGATTCACAGAGCTTTTGGGTGGAAACATGGTATTAGATTCCTATAGCATCAGACTCACTGGAAAACATTGAGGCATTTTGAACCCCAAAAGCAAAAGCAATTAGGACAAACATTTGGGGTCTTGGGGTGCCTGGGTGGCTCTGTGAGCTAAGCATCCAATCTTTTTTTTTTTTTATGATTTTATTTATTTGAGAGAGAAAGAAAGCACAAGCTGGGGGCAGGGGCAGGAGAGAGGGAGAAGCAGGCTCCCTGCTGAGCAAGGAACCTGATGCAGGGACTCAATCCCAGCACCCTGGAGTCACGACCTGAGCCTAAGGCAGATGCTTAACTGACTGAGCCACCCAGGCACCCATCATCCAACTCTTGATTTTGGCTCATGTCAGGATCTCAGGGTCCTGAGATCAAGCCCCACGTCAGGCTCTAAGCTGGGTGTGGAGCCCACTTAAGACTCTCTCCCTCTCCCTCTGCCCCTCCCTACTATAACTCTCTCTCTCTCTCTCTCTCTCTCTCTCTCTCTCTCTCTCCCCCTCCAAAAAAAAGAAAGACAAAAGATGTGGGCTTGACTTTCATGGTGTGAATATAGACAAGCCCCCAAAAGTCAGAGGAACCGAATGGCTGAAGTAATCCCTGGGGAAACCTTCCACTCTTCCATGACCTCCTTTTTTTGTTTTCTTGTCTTCCCACTTCCCCTGTTCTACCTTCCCTTCGGCCTCTCCGTAGAAAGACAGGGCTCTAATGGTCCTCACAAAGAGCCGTTTTATAGTTCTTGCTAAATGTCCATTCTGAGGGACATAGCTGGGGTGAATTGTTCAAAGTCAGTGAAGGAAACCACGTTGTATCATACCTGTGGTTATGAATTGGGAAATACACGACATGTTGCTGCCCCGGACTTCACTAAAGGAATACACTGTGATGTTGTACTTGGTGTCACACTCTAGGGCTGAGAGGGTGCAAGCAGGAGCCGTGTCATTGCACTCAACCACATTGAACCCATCTACAGCCTTGGTTTCATAAAGTTCGGCACCACGGACAGGAGACCAGACGATCTCTACTCTGTCACTGGACACTAACACCGGGTTAATGTCAGTAGGACAACAGGGAGCTGAAAGCAGGAGCAGAGAGAGAGAATGGAGGTCAGTGAAGGAGCAGTGATATCAGAAGGACCTGACTTTCTGGTGCCCAGAGCCTCTGCCACTGGTCTCCTAAATTGCTGCAAGAATCTCCATGGGGAGCCTGAGTGGCCGAGTCGGTTAAGTGTCTGACTTGATTTCCACTCAGGTCATGATCTCAGGGTCTCTAGATTGAGCCTGGCATTGTGCTCCGTGCTGGGTGTGGAGCCTGCTTGAGTTTCTCTTTCCCTTTCCCTCTCCTTCTATCCCTCCCCTCCCTCTCCCAAATAAGTAAGTAAATGAATGAATGAATGAATGAACGAATAAATAAATAAATAAATAAATAAATAAATAAATAAATAAATAAATAAATTCTCCTACAATTCTCTCCAGCTCCAATCTTGGCCTAACACCCACTATATAGAGGATAATTCCTCGATGCATGACGTCTAAAGGTCATTAAAAGCTGCATCCAGTCTACATGTTCAGTTGTGCCTCCCCCATCACCGGCCACACCAGTCTTCTCAATTCCCCGGCCCACATATGCTCTCATTTCCCTATGCCTCAAGGACTGTTAACCCTCTCCTGGAATGCTATTCCCCTCTTCTGCCTGAGAAAAATCATACCTTGTCTAACAGCTAGATCCTATCAGTCTTTCCAAACACCAGATAAAACTGAGGGCTGCAGGAGGGGCAAACATCATTGTATTAGTAGATCTTAGAAGAGACCCTATATCATGTCGTGGATGAATTCTGACAATTCTGACAAATGTCTAGCTCAGCTTGGACTTTCTCTGGGATGCCCTTGTCCCACGTACATTCCATCCACCCTTAAACATCCAAGTCAAGGCCACTCCTTCTGGAAAGCCCTCCTACGCTTTTGAGACTTGATTGGTAGCCCCTTAATTCCATATTCTAAAGGCACCAATTATTTGATTCTTTCGTCTTGGTAAAATTTATTGTAATCCAGCTAGTAGTGTTACTATGTAATGATATTCTAATGTTCTTATTTGTAAGCATGGTTCACTAATTTCAAGTCACTCCATTCATTCTTCAGAAATCAAGCCTCTTCTATAGGCTGATCACACTATGATAAGCATTGAGGATGAAGAGGTAAATAAAACAATACCTGCTCTGTGGAAGATCCAAGCCTAGGGGTGGAGAATAATAGTAGTAATGATGCTAATAAAAATACTTTGCATTGTGCTTTACCACATACAAATACCTTTCATACTCATGCTCTCATTATTTGTCCGATTTTGCTGTGGAGGATACTAAGGAACTAGAAAGGTAAACATCATTATCCTTATTCTGTAATGGGTTAGTGGTCACAACAGGACTTAAACACGGGTGTCCTGCTGCAGAGCCTTTTGCGCGATGCCACAACTTTGCAATTGCATCTCTGGTTTTGGGTCTTGGGGAAAGAGTGAACTCCTGAGACAGGAGGTCTGCATCCCCTTCAGCACCTTACATAGGGTGCTGAGCACTGAGTAGATCTTGGTGGGGGGGTTGGCTTTTCAGAGCAGGTGTGAACGACCATATTGTTTGCTCTCTTCCTAAGCCTTGTGTTCTCCTCAAGCTTGAGTCCATGAAGCCAAAATTTCCTGTTCTGGAAAGAATGTGAGAGGAGAGCTTCTCTTTCTGTTCTAGGCCATAGCATGACTCTCAGGTATTCTAGGTAAATCAATTGGGTGATCTACGCTGCTGTTAAGTGAACTCCGGACTCCCTTTATAAGCATCAAGTGCAACTTACCTGTGGTATAATTGACCACATCGCCCAGAGGACTCTGGCCTGCCTTGTTATAGGCAAAAACACTGATAAAGTAAGTGAAGCCACATTCAGATAAGAAATTGCACTGGGTGAGGGATGTGTTGCAGTGGACTTCCAAGCCATCGTCACTCTTCACAAAGGCCACATAGTAATCGCCCAGATCTACACTGGACCAAGCCACAGATAGGTGGCCAGGAGGATCTTCTCGGATGGTCACTCTGCCAGGTGCACAAGCAACTAGGAAACAGTAAATAATGAATAGCTATGAGTGTCTTGCAAGAGATTTTTCTTTGCATCTTTGCAATTGTCCAGGATTGTTCACACGCCATGGACAAGGAATGCATCAGATAGTATGTGCAGGCCAACAAGACATTCGCACATGTCGTAAAATTTATCTTACACAATACCTGCTAGTTAGACCATGTCAAAGAGGCATGGATCCCCTTTGTTGCTACTGCCTGCATTTCTATGTTAAGGCAACGCCAGGATCAGCACAGAATTCAAATGAAGTTTATTCTTTAAAGCTCTAAGCTTTTAAAATTTTAGCCATCTCTAGTGGGAATCTTCCTAAAATATATTTCACAATTCTGGAACCTGGGAAACACATAGCATCTTCTAAACATAGTTCTTTTATTGATAACTGTGGGCTGTTCCCATGATCATGACTAACTGTTTTATGCCCAAAGTGCAGTGGTGCCTCCCTACTGTAAATGTGCAGGATTGCTTCCCTGCCACTTTACCCTGGCTGCACATTAGAATTCACGGAGGAGCTTTTATAAACCAGTCATACCCAGACTCCGTGCCCAGCAACTCTGATTTAATTGGTCTTAGGTGGATTTGTGAAAAGCTCCCCAGATTCTCTTAATGTGCATCCAAGACTGGGAAACACTGGAAGGTTCTCTTCTACATTAAATGACTAACTTGGATCTGCTGTGCTTTTGAAAGTGTATTCTTATCTCTTCCTTCACTCTCAGCTATCCCGACCTCATGACCCTTCCTAATGTGCCGACCAGAGTAAATTACAGCTGTCAGAAGAGAAGCCAAATCACCAGGTTTGCTATCAGTGACCTTAATTTAACACAACTATAAGAAACTGTGGAGCTGAGGGCTTGGCTGTACTGTTTCCCTGTGAAATAACAGTGCATCAACTTGGTGATAGCTCTTTTCCTCCCTGTTCAGAAGCCTTTTATACTTCGAGTGATGTAGTTCTGACTGTTGGGTAAAGTGGACATTATTGTGATTATCTACATTTTCTTTGGCTTAGAGGACTAAAATCAGACAATCCTAGGCTTGAATCTAGCTCTAACACTCACTGTTGGTGTGCCTTTGGAAAAATTATTTCACTTCTCAGACCTAAAACTTTCCTGTCTGAAAAAGGAGGTAATAGAGCCTACCTCGTTGAGTGGTCATGAAAATTAAATAAAATCATGTATTTATAGTGCCTGGTACATAGCAGGTCTTCACTAAATTTTAGTTCCCATCACCAAAATGTACAAATATTTCTAGAGGAGTAAAACTCCATATTTGTGAGTCATTATTTCTTGATAAGATGAAAATGAAGATATTTAAACACATACTGGGATGCCTGGGTGGCTCAATTGGTGAAGCAACTGCCTTCAGCTCAGGTCATGATCCTGGGGTCCTGGGATCAATCTCCATATCTGAGTCCCTGATCACTGGGGAATCTGCTCTCTCTGCTCATGCTTTCTCTCTCTCTCTCTCTCTCTCTCTCTCTCTTTCTCTTTCTCTCTCTCTCTCCCTCTCAAATAAATAAATAAAATCTTTACACACACACACACACACACACACACACACACACACACACACACGGGCAGCCTGGATGGCCTAGTGGTTTAGCGCCGCCTTCAGCCCAGGGCGTGATCCTGGAGACCCAGGATCGAGTCCCACGTCGGGCTCCCTGCGTGGAGCCTGCTTCTCCCTCTGCCCCTCTCTCTCTCTCTCTCATGAATAAATAAAATCTTTAAAATAAAAAAAAACAAACAAACAAATACATACTAAAAATTATAGACTGCCCATCTTTATCTTTAAAAAATAGCTCCCACCAGGTCTAGGTCTGTGAAGCATGATGTAAGGAAGAGGCTGCTATCTGTACCACATGGTTAGAGCTGTGTATCACTCCAACTGGATCTTAGAATTTGTACAACTTTACAAAGGATAAAGAAGATTAATTAATGGTAGACTAGAATAGGAGCCAGGACGTCAATGAATTTTCAAAGAAGTGCTTTTTCCAGTGTATGATATCTGGTTTCAGTATCACATTATTAAAATTCATTAGATTGTCCAATTCCACGCTTTCATTTAGACTAGGCTTTCATTTTCACTGCTTCCAGAATGTTCTGGAACATTATCAGGTGATTATGTTTCCCTTCTGGCAGTCACTCTGGTTCACAGGCCCCACAGTGATCTTACTCTTGTTTACATACCAGTTTTTAGGGCCTCTGCTGAAGTTGATTGGCTAGAACCAGCATCATTACTTGCTAAAACTGAAATGAGGTACTCAGTCCCACACTGGAGGGAGGAGATGGTACAGGTACTGAGAGTTGTACTACAGCTCAGCTTTGAAGAATCACTCGAAGCCATCACAGTATAGTTGAAAGCTCCTTCCGCTGGGGCCCATGAAACAGAGGCCTTCAGAGCCCCACTGTCAAAAGAGACTTGAATGTTGGCAGGAGCTTGAGGACCTAGATTTTTGAGAAACAATTAAGATTTTGCAGTAGCTTTAAGAACCCAAGTAAGATTTGACCTAACGATATCCTAAAGCTTGGGGGATGGGGTGCCACCATAGTAGGATAATTGCTAGCATTTAGAGCATAACATTGGGATTTAGGATAACACATCTGCCATTGACTATGAAAACTCTAGCTAGCTATGTGACTTTGGCCATGTTATTTAGTCTGTTATTTAATTTTTTTATCAACTGTAAAATGGATCTAGGGATCCCTGGGTGGCGCAGCGGTTTGGCGCCTGCCTTTGGCCCAGGGCGCGATCCTGGAGACCCGGGATCGAATCCCACGTTGGGCTCCCGGTGCATGGAGCCTGCTTCTCCCTCTGCCTGTGTCTCTGCCTCTCTCTCTCTCTCTCTCTCTGTGTGACTATCATAAATAAATAAAAATTAAAATGGATCTAATAAGATCGAGTCCCTAACATATATAGTTGGTAATAAGCATATTTTGAATGAATGAATCAGTGAATGCACAACACAATAAGTGATCGAATAATTAAATGAAATTGTATACATGAAGGGCTAAAAGGACCATGTGGGTATGTTACTATTAAGTGGGAGGTCAAATATTCTATTATTGATTGATGAAGCTGAATAGATTAGGCTTCAACAATATCCCTTTCTTTACCTTTTATTTTTTACTTATTTTTTAAAAGATTTATGTTTTTAAATTTATTTTATTTATTTGTTCATTCATTCATTCATGAGAGACACACACACAGAGAGAGAGAGAGAGAGAGAGAGAGAGAGAGAGACAGGCAGAGGGAGAAGCAGGCTCTGTGCAGGGAGCCCAATGTGGGACTCGATCCCAGAACCCCAGGACCACACCCTGAGCCGAAGGCAGACGCAGACACTCAACCGCTGAGCCACCCAGGCATCCCTATTTATGTATTTTAGAGAGAGAAAGAGCTTGAGTGGGGAAAGGGGCAGAAAGAGAAGGAGAGAATCTCAAACAGACTCCCTGCTGAGTGCGGAGCCTGATGTGGGGCTCAATCCCATGGCCCTGGGGTCAAGAGTCAGATGCTTAACCAATTGTCAAGCAGTCTCTATACCCAAATTGGGGCTCAAATGTACAACCCTGAGATCAAGAATCATGTGCTCTACCAACTGAGCCAGCCAGACATCCCTCCCTTCTTTACTTTTGACACCTTTTTTATGTAAGAGCTTTTAGGTCATAGCTGTTTCTAGGAAAAAAAAAAAAAAACAGACTTTCATTCCATTCCAAATCAAAGGGAAGGAAGGAAAATATCAAGTATGATGGTCACACATTAAGGCACATATTTTGTCTCCAAAAACACTTCTGTCTACATTCTTAGAACTATGCCTTCCTTTTTTTCAGGGTTATCGTCTTGAAAAAGCTTGAGGAGTATCCTCTTGTGCTGAGAGAGGAGAAATTGGCCTCATACTCCAGAATCTGTGCTGTGATGAAGCCCATCTGGTAAGCATTAGAGACCTGTTGCACAGTATGTGAGCAGAAACCACCTTCTGGGTACAGACGGTTGTACAAGGAAGGCTGAGGAAACGGGTACTCATCATCCTCTGTAAGGCAGGCACCTGCCATGTTTCTCCTATAGGCCATCTTCACAGGACCCCTCCCCTGTTTCATGGTCAGCTCATCTGCAGAGGCAGATCTACTCTGGGGTAATTCTAGGCTCAAAGCTAGTAAGGGTAGCCTGCAGTATTTTAGGACAACCTGTCCTTCCCTCATGGGGGGTGAGAAAACCTGGAAAAATGAGTAGTCGGTCCTCTCAAATTTCATATGTTGAAGTCCTAACCCCTAGGACCTCAAAATGTCATCTTATTTGAAAACAGGGTCATAAGAGATGCAATCAGTTAAGATGAGATCATTAATATAGACCCTAATCCAATAAGATGGGTGTCCTTATAAAGACAGTCAATTTTGTACTGGCTTCAGTAGCACATATACTAAAATTAAAATTAGTATGGCATGGGCCATACTAATTTGCGTGTCACAGGGGTAACATGCAAATTTCATTTAAAAATAAATAAAAATAAAATAATAAAGAGAGGAAATCTGGATACAGGCATATGCTTCCAGGGAGAATGCCATGGACTATGGAAGGTGCTCTATACAAGCCAAGGAGAAAGTCCTGGAACAGATCCTTCCCTCACAGCCCGGAGAAGAAACCAACTATGCTGACATTTTGATTTCAGACTTCCAGCTTCCAAAACTGGGAGATGATAATTTTTTGTTCTTTGAGTTAGTTTGTGGTAGCTTGTTATGACAGCCTTAGCAAACTATAGAGAGGCTAAATCTAAACTCTACAAAATTTTAAAATACGGGAAACAAATGAAGAGGAAGGCTTTAAGAAAACAGTCACTTGTAGGAGATTGCTGTCCCCAGCCTAATGTAGAAGATTCCTCCCCCACAACTCCATGCCTGCAAAACCTTCTCTCAAAGCACTTGTCACATAGAACTATAACCACTGATTGACACTTTGGTCTCTCTCAAGACACAGTCATTTCTCTGAGTGTGTAGAGATTATGCCTTAATTGATTTTCTATCCCCATCAGGTAAACTATGTTCAGCACATAGTGGGTCATTGTCAATGTTTGTGGAAAGAAAGAAAGAATGAATATCTAGGAAAAAACCCCGGGTACACTAGTTTATCACAGACATCCTGACGCACCAGGCCCGTCATGAATTATCTTTGTGCCAACTTGATTTCACCTGAGAGAAGAATTATAAAAGGCAAATCCTTTTCTCCCTGAATTTCTGTCTTGACACACAGACAACAGGGCTTCCACTCTCCTCCAAACTTAGGGAATGTTGGGGAGAACATTTCTGGTTTCTTTGCATTCTTTCTTTGGTCTTCTCCAAGGGATGAAATAGCTCATTTGCTTGGTGAGAATCTGGTGTCTATTAGGCCATATTATCAGTGGATGGCTTACTTTGGCTCAAGAGAAGAAAAAAATCTCTCTCCTTCCCTCTCTCTCCTTCTCATTCTTCTGGCTTGCTCCAGCAACTCAGTTTGGGCTTTCATTTATCATGCACCTGACCCTGTGGTCAGAGTACCCCTGCAATGGGGTTGGTGAGACACACGCCATGCTCTAGCTTCTCAGCCTATAACTGAAGAAGAGGTGATAGGAAGCCCCATGTTGACCTCAGGCTTAAACTGAAGTTTTAGAAAATATAATTGAGGGGTGCCTGGGTGGCTCAGTCAATTGAGTGTCTACCTTTGGCCCAGGTCATGATTCCAAGGTCCTACCATCAAGCCCCACATCTCCCTCTCCTTCTGCCTGCCACTCCCCCTGCTTGTGCTCTCTCTCTGTCAAATAAATAAATAAATAAAATATTTAAACAAAAAGAAAGAAAATATATCTGAAACTCTGATTCCCACCACAGCATAAAGTACTGTAACAACAGGAACTTTGTTTTGTCGGTGGCTGGACCTCTAGAACAATGCCAGAGTTGGCATACACTCACTAAATGTCTACTGAGTAAATGAATTCCTGTTTGTCCTATTTCTTTTTGTTTATGCCATTGGTCTGAACCTAGGCAGGGTATGGGAGACTGGTAAACCTAACATAAATCATGTCCTGCTGTGTGATATTGAATGTGTGTGCTTGAAAATAAGTTGGTGTCAGTGAGGGGGAAGCCATACTCTGTGTATTCTGAGCAGCATTTCTTTATACATGTAGTAAGCATCTAAATTACCAAGAAGGAAGAGCCAAGGCACTATAAATAAACTAATAAATCTAAATATCTGCTGCCAGCTGTTCTGTACTTATCAGTTAACACACTGCCTGATGGCTACAATGCATCGCCCCTCTCATTAATCAAGAGGGAGATTGCTTGGGGCTGAGCTGGGAAGTCCTTACTTGTTCTCTGATTACAGGTGGAGTCATCCCCAGGGGTTCCATTGGCATTCCACGCGTAGGCCTTTATGGTGTAGAGAGTCCCAGCATCTAAACTGGTGAATGTCAACGAGGTGTTTGTGGTATTCTCTTTCCATACTCTACCCAAACCATTAGCTCGCATAATGGAAACGGAGAATCCAATCGCCATATATACGGCTTCCCACTGCACAAGAATAGAACCTGGACTCGGAGAGCTCACTTCTAGAATTGGTGCAGCCAATACTAGAAGGACAAAAACACATGCGTTTGCAAATAGAGGATAATTCAAATTTAGGAACAAGTAATTTGAAGTTGATCATCCATATTATGAGACAATTATTTGCTTTGTGAAAGGATTTACAGCAGAGTTTCAAGAAATAATTAGTGACTAAATGTGTATTAATCATAAATGACTCGGCAGAGGAATGAGGAACAGAAAAGGTCTAATATTAGGCATTACTTTCAACTGGAGGTTTGTAAGAAATTATATAAAACATCCCTATAATTATAACTCAGTGGGGGAAACGGTGGTTTATAATATTTTAATGTGTAACAACCTTTTGGAAATAGGCCTCGGTACAACTTTATCAACTCCATTTAAGTCATGTTGATGACAAGCTAAGTACTTTTATTTTAAGCAAGTCAAAATGTAGCAAAATCCTTTCTACCTGTTCTTGATTTAGCATGGTCTTTATGGATAACTGAGGTTAAAAACAGAAATCTCTTTTTCAGAGATTTAAAAGCAAGAATGTTCTCAAAGATGGCCAGAAATGGGTTTTGTTTTCCAAAGCATCTGAAATTTAAATACCACCTGCTCCCCAGATATCTGAATCAGCCAAAAACATCATTTGGTGGCTTTTACCCCTGGGCCCTGAATTGTAGGCACTCACGTGACACTTTCACAATTATATCATGTACTTGAAGCCTCAGTATGACCGATCTAGGTCATAAGCACTAGCTCAACAGAGGCCGAGCATCCAGCTACCTGTCTTTGCCTGCTTCGGAGGCGATGCTTGGCTTCTCCCGGTGGCACTGATGGATCTGACGGTGATTTGGTACAAGGTCGCAGCCTTCAGGCCTGTCACAGTGCCTGGGGAATTGGCCACTGTGGTTTCAATGACAGTGTCTCCATCTTCAGCTGTAAGGAGATAACTGGTGGCCCCTGGCACGGTGGCCCACTCCACAGTGATGCTGTTGCTGATTTTTGAGTATGCCTGATCAATAGTGGGTATGTCAGGAGCTGAAAGAGATTTTAAAGATTTTATTTGTTTGTTTGTTTGTTTGTTTGTTTTAGAGCGGGGGGGGGGTGGAGGGTGGAGAGAGAGAGTGCATAAGCCGGAGGCAGTGGCACAGAGGGAGGGAGAGAATCCCAAGCAGACTCCATGGTGAGCGTGAGCCCTGCAAGGGCCTTGATCCCACCACCCTGAGATCATGACCTGAGTTGAAATCAAGAGTTAGATGTGTAACCAGCTGAGCCACCCAGGCCCATTGGGAGAGATTTTGAGGTTACATTAGCTTGGATACCTATGAAGATGATTTCTTTCATCATTTTACTTTTCAAACGAAATCATTTTCCTGCCATCCTTTAGACATAAACTTTGCCCTTATTTTCTTTTCTTATTTATTCATTTATTTGATGGAGAGAGAGAGCAGGGGGAGTGGCAGGCAGAGGGAAAGGGAGAAGCAGACTCCCTGCAGAGCAGGGGACCCGGGCTTGTTACCAGGATCCTGGGATCATGAGCCAAACCAAAGGCAGACGCTTAACCGACGGAACCACCCAAGTGCCCTTTCTTTTCTTTTGTCTTCTAAGATTTTATGTTTAAGTAATCTCCACACCCAACATGGAGCTCGAACTCATAACCTCGGGATCAAGAGCCAGCCAGGCACCCCTGCCCTCGTTTTCAGGATTAAGACAAAAATAGAGAAAAAGAAAGGCAAAGCTACTCTCCAGAAGAGAGTCAGAAAGCTCAAGCCTCTCATTCAGTAACAGGATTTCAGAGATATTTTTCCCAGTTGCTTCTGGGATAATTTGCATTTTTTGTACTTTTCAGAGTTAAATCAGAATGGGGAGGGCAGGCCCTGCCTGGCTCAGTCCGTGGAGCATGCAACCCTTGATCTTGGGATTGTGAGCTTAAGCCCCACATTATGCACAGAGCCTACTCAAAAAAAAAAAAAAAAAAAGGGGTGGGGAGATGCCTGGGTGGCTCAGGGGTCAGGCGCCTGCCTTTGGCCCAGAGCGTAATCCTGGGGTCCCGGGATCAAGCCCCACATCAGGCTCCCCATAGGGAGCCTGCTTCTCCCTCTGCCTGTGTCTCTGCCTCTCTGTGTCTCTCATGAATAAATAAATACAATCTTAAAAAAAAAAAAAAGAGTGGGGCGTGATTGTGGGGAAAAACTCTGAGAGCTTCATTCTGGAGGCTTCTCCTCTGGTTCGGCACCTGTGAACTCCCACCCGCCCTGCCCCTGACTCCTGCTCCACTGCCTCTGCCTGACAGAGAGGGGCCCACCTCTGCCGAGCCTGTGTCTCCACCTCATGCACTTGCACATTGCCCACGTGGTTTTTAATCTAAATGGAAGAAGAGGAAGAAACGAGTTGTTTGGGGATTGCTCTATCATACTTCCATATTATCAGAATAGAACCATTTTTTAGATTCTGCTATATAAAATAAAAATAAACTTTTTTCTCCCCTTCTCCATCAAAACATCGGCCCCAGCATGAGAATGAGATGCTGTGGTCCCTCCTCACCCGGGCCAGGCCGTGGTTTGTCTCGGGAACCTGAATGCCGATGTCAGGAGTGTATATAAGGCATTCCCACACTTCGCGTAAGGGGCAGGAGATACACAAGATTTACTACATTGCAAAAATCCACAGACACCTAAAATGCCCTCGGTGTAGGAGGTCCACGCAGAAGAAAAGGTCAAACAAAAACAGCTGGGCTTAAGTCTGCGACTGGCACTTGGACTTTTATGTTCAATATACTGCATTTGCTGGGTAAAATCCCCATATACCAAATTCCAAACTAAACTCTAGGGCAAAGAGGAGAAAGTAAATACAGACCTATGTGTGGCTTAGCAGTATCAACGCCCTGCCCCCAGCAGGCCCCCAGCAGTCCCCCGCCAGCCAGATCCCTGCGGGCGTGACACAGACAACCTCCTTCTGTACCAACAGCCTAGAGACTTGGCTCCGGCGCTAGCTCCGAAACGACCATGCTGCAAGACGGAACAAAGTCGCCACTGTGCTCTGGCCAGACATTCCTTGAACATCACCCAGGACTGTCTCCTTTGCCATCAAAAGAAAACTGAGACTTATATCTGCTGGGGAGATGTTACAGACCTGCTCGTCGTAGCCGTTGGCCCGCAGAAGGTGACTCCACGGGAAGCATCCATGTCCCCTCCCACCCACGGCAGCACAGAAAGGCCCGGCAAGGGGCACCTGGCTGGCGCAGCTAGTTAGGCGTCTGACTCTTGGTTTTGGCTCAGGTCACAGTCTCAGGGTCGTGAGATCGAGCCCTGTGTCCAGCTCCTTGCTCAGTGCAGAGTCTGCTCAAAATGATCTTTCCCTCTCCCTTCCCCCTCCCTGCTACTCACGCTCTCTCTCTCTCAAATAATAAATAATGAATCTTTAAAATATATATGTTAAGGGGATCCCTGGGTGGCTCAGCGGTGTAGCGCCTGCCTTTGGCCCCAGGGTGTGATCCTGGAGTCCTGGGATCAAGTCCCGCATCAGGCTCCCTGCATGGAGCCTGCTTCTCCCTCTGCCTGTGTCTCTGCCTCTCTCTCTCTCTTTCTCTCTCTCTGCCTTTCATGAATAAATAAATAAAATCTTAAGATATATGTGTGTGTGTGTGTATACATATATATATATTTAAAAAAAAAAGAAAGCCCCAGCAAGGGCCTCCACTTTTATCCCTCCCACACACTCATCACTTTTCTACTCCCAGTTTTTTTTTTCTTTTAAGATTTTATTTATTCATGAGAGACACAGAGAGAGAGGCAGAGACCCAGGCAGAGGGAGAGGCAGGCTCCCTGCGGGGAACCTGATGCGGGACTCGATCCCAGGACCCTGGGATCACTCCCTGAGCTGGAGGCAGACGCTGAACCACTGAACTACCCAGGAGCCCGTGCTCTCAGTTATTTGCCTTCTTTCCTCTAACAAACTTTGTGACGTCTCTCAACTCTGTCTTCCTTTGTCCCCGCAGTGTATCTTATCTCCTGGGTTAGTTACTCATTCTTGTTGGAGTGGACCAATTCCTGGAAAAATGACACCCAAACTAGCCATCAGCAGACAAGGCCTGGCAGTGAGTTCATGGAGTGGTTGGAGAGGCACCGGAAAGGCTAGACTGTCTCCTCCCAGGCTTGCCAAGGGGCCTGACAGCGCCACCACATCGACCGCCGTGAAGTGAGCAAGGTCAGAGGAGTAGCGCATGACCCCAGTGTCCGCGGGGTGGAACAAGGGTTGCCCAGTGGAAACAGCATAGCGTTTGGATCCAGCGGCTCCGGGTTGGAGGCCTGGCTCTGACATTTACTTTTGCATGTGATTGTGTCCAAGTCATTCAGCCTTTTCCAGCCTCTGTTTTCTCCCCTGAGCATCCAGAATATTGATCTTGTCTGCATTTTAGGATTCACTTTGAAATGTAAAATATTAAAAAAAAAGAAATGAGAAATATCTACATCTTGGGATTGTTGTAATGATTAAGTAAAATAGTGTGTTCAAGGGCACTTTGAAAGGTGGGAAGGGTTGGGGCACGAGTGGCTTAGCGGTTGAACCTCTGCCTGTGGCTCAGGGCATGATCCTGGGTCCTGGGATCGAGCCCCACATGGAGCCTCACATCAGGCTCTCTGCAGGGAGCCTGCTTCTGCCTCTCTCTTTGTGTCTCTCAAGAATAAATAAAATCTTTTTAAAAATTGCCTTATTTACACTTCCTGTTTCTGTGGTACAGACAAAATAATAAATAAAAATTGTTCTCATTTATGTGAGACTTTATTGGAGATATAATCAATACTACATGAGTCCTCCAGATAATCAAAATCTCATTGAATATACATTTCCTTTCTGAGGACTTAGATTTCTAGAATGGAGGAGCTAGGTGAGGTCTCTAGAGATACTATTTTTGCCTTCAGTCATTATTCAGGAAAAATGATGATAAAATCTTTTTAAAAGAAAGACTTAAAAAAAAAAAAAGACTTTTTCTAGCTCTGAGGTATCATTTCCTGTATTTTAGGGATGCACTATTAGAAGTATAAAATCCTTTCCTATTAAAGAGTCTTGAGACGCCTGGGTGGCTCAGTGGTTAAGTGTCTGCCTTCAGCTCAGGTCAAGGTCTCAGGGGTCCAGGGATAGAGTCCAGTCCCCTGCAGGGAGCCTGCTTCTCCCTCTGCCTGTGTCTCTGCCTTTCTCTATCATGAATAAATAAATAAAATCTTAAAAAAAAGAAAAATTATATAAATTAGACTCTGCTATTTATGCTTAAAACTTTATTTCTTTAACTAGAACGATAATCATAATATTTTACTAATGGCTAAATGTATTTGAGAAAATCCATGACTACATGACTTTCTATATATCTCAGCACTTGATAGGAGTATTTTTTTTTTTTGATAGGAGTATCTTATGAGGACTCATAAGTTTGATCCATGTATCTGTCTTATCAGTTACACTCACAGTGTGAGTGCTCAGGAGATGCTGAATATTTTTCCTGGTAGAGCTTTTCTATTTCAGGACAGCTCAAAAATTAACAATGGAAATTAACATCAAACATGGTGAGGAAAAACTTGCATTTCAAAAAATTTTACCTGTTTTTCCTGAAGCAACCTGAAAAGGAAAGTTTACAAAAATTAGAACCATGGAGAAAAATACCATTTGGGGAAACATAAAACATAAGTCAGAGCAGCAATAAATTTATTACAACATTTTAATATGTTATGTGAGCAATATTTGAATCCATACAGAGTAGTTATTTGCACAAATCATTTCCCAAACTCAAATCTGCCACAAAGAAATCCAAATAGAATTTAGAGGCTGGAGGCAGATCACATTACTATTTCATTTTTCTCCCTGAGTCTGCCTATTGAACTAAGTCAGCAGCTGCTGACAGATTTCTCAAAAATCTTTGTTCTTAAAATATAATGATAATCTTGTTTTCTTTCTCTAGTAAATTGCATTAAATTTCAAACATGCAAACATATGCAATCTTGGTATGGTCCAAAAGTATTTGTTTTCTATCTCCCTACCCCCTAGTCTCTCTCAAAAAAAATAAAAAGGTAATAAATGTCTCTCTCTCTCTTTTTTTCTAACTAGTTGCAGGTTGGTCGGAATGGTGAACTCACCAATTTAAGACAGATAAGAGTGAATCCAATCAAAGGCAAACATTTCTTGTGTCCACCAGCCATCCTGTTGGACATAGCACTCACATGGCACACGCAACAGAGTGATCCGGGTCCTCTTCGGTCCCCAGGAGGGCAGCACTGTGGATTGCTGGGGCCGTAGGGCTGTGATCCTGGGAAGTAGCTCCTCCTCTTCAGTGTGGAACTGACCTGTTCCTGGGGGCACTCGGAGATTGGCAGGGACAGATATTGCCAAGGCTGAAAAAAAGAAGAGTTGAAGAAAACCACCCCAAACTGGCCATAAAGGTACTGTAACCTGGGTTTCAAGGTAATATGTAGAATGCTCTCTTCTTTAAAAAAATTTTTTTTCAAAGATTTTATTTATTCATGAGAGACACACAGAGAGAGGCAGAGACACAACCAGAGGGAGAAGCAGGCTCCCTGCGGGGGCCCGACATGAGACTCCATCCCGGGTCTCCAGGATCACACCCTGAGCTGAAGGCAGACGCCCAACCACTGAGCCACCCAGGTGCCCGTTTGAGGTCTTTATAAGCATTTAATCCAAACACTATAAACAATTCTAGTAATAAGCAAGTATGTAAATTAGTAATAAACAGTATTAACTGACTTTTATGGAATCACACAAGTATTACATGGTGGAGCTGGGATTAAAATTCATCAGACCTCTGTTTCCAACCGAAATAGGGCAAAAGGGAATGGATTTACCACCTATGACTTCGACTTATTGTAAAACTACAGTGGGATCCCTGGGTGGCGCAGCGGTTTGGCGCCTGCCTTTGGCCTAGGACGTGATCCTGGAGACCGAGGATCAAATCCCACGTTGGGCTCCTGGTGCATGGAGGCTGCTTCTCCCTCTGCCTGTGTCTCTGCCTCTCTCTCTCTCTCTCTCTCTCTCTGTGACTATCATAAATAAATAAAAATTTAAAAAATCTTTTAAAAAAACTACAGTAATTAAGACAGGATTAATTGGTTATAAGGATTGGCATGAAGATGGATAAATCAACGGAATAGAATAGATCAATAGAACAGCCTAGAGAGTCCAGAAATAGACCCAAACATATATAGACAATTGATTTTCAATAACCGTACAAAGGCAATCCAGTAGAAAAAGGATAGTCTTTTCAACAAATGGTACTAGAATGATTAAATAATCAGATGCAAAGAACATGAGCTTTGATCCATATCTTACCTTACATAAAAAATTAATTCAAAATGGATTATAGACCTAAATGTAACACCTAAAACTATAAAACTTCCAGAAAAAAATCGCTGTGATGTTAGATTAGTCAAAGATTTCTTAGATACCACACTGAAAGCATGATCCATTTAAAAAATTGATACTTTGAACTTCATCAAAATCAAAAACTTTTGCACTATTAAGGGAATGAAAAAACAAACCACACATTGGGGGGAAATATTTGCAGATCACATATTTAATTTTTAATTAGGAATTTTAAAAATATGTACATACTCTCAAAACCTAATAAAAAAATTACTTAAGGGATGCCTGGGTGGCTCAGTGGTTGAGTGTCTGCCTTTGCCTCAGGGCGTGATCCCAGGATCTGGGATGAGTCCTGCATTGGGCTCCTTGCATGGAGCCTGCTTCTCCCTCTGCCTATGTCTCTGCCTCTCTTTATGTTTCTCATGAATAAATAAATAAAATCTTTTAAAAAAAGAAGAAAAATTAATAAAAAATGAGCAAAAGATTTGAACAGACACTTCACATAAGATATATACCTGGACATATTTGTGTGTACAACATACACCTAGTATATGGCCCAACCATCTCACCCCTAGGTATTTACCCGAGAGAAATGGAAGTATATGTCCATACAAAAATTTATATACACAGGGAAAGGCAATTATCATATGGTCTCACTCATATGTGGAATTTAAGAAACAAAACAGAGGATGATAGGAGAAAGGAAAAATAAGATGAAATCAGAGAGGGAGACAAACCATAAGAGACTTTTTTTTTTTAAGATTTATTTATTTATTCATGAGAGACACAGAGAGGCAGAGACAGGCAGAGGGAGAAGCAGGCTCCATGCAGGGTCCTGATGTGGGACTTGATCCCAGAATTCCAGGATCACATCCTGATCAGAGGTTCAAGTGCTGAGCTACCCAGGCATCCCCCATAAGAGACTCTTAATGATAGGAAATAAACTGAACGTTACTGGAAGGGAGGGGGTGGGGTGATGGGGTAACTGGGTGAGGGCATTAAGGAAGGCACAGGTTGTAATGAGCACTGGGTATCATATGAGACTGATGAATCATTGAACTCTGCCTCTGAGGACTAATAATACACTATATATTTATCAATTGAATTTAAATAAAAAATTAAATTAAAAAAACCCAAAAACTTATATACACGTATTCATAGTAGCATTAACTTTTTTTTTTTAAGATTTTATTTATTTCGGGCAGCCCGGGTGGCTCAGCGGTTTAGTGCCACCATCGGCCCAGGGTGTGATCCTGGAGACCCAGGGTCGGGTCCCATGTTGGGCTCCCTGCGTGGAGCCTGCTTCTCCCTCTGCCTGTGTCTCTGCCTCTCTCTCTCTCTGTCTCTCATGAATAAATAAATAAAATATTTTTTAAAAAAGATTTTATGAATAAATAAAATATTAAAAAAAGATTTTATGAATAAATAAAATATTTTTAAAAGAGATTTTATTTATTCATGAGAGACACACACAGAGAGAGAGAGAGGCCGAGACACAGGCAGAGGGAGAAGCAGGCTCCACGCAGGGAGCCCAACATGGGACCCGACCCCGGGGTCTCCAGGATCACGCCCTGGGCCGAAGGCAGCGCTAAACTGCTGAGCCACCCAGGGATCCCCAGTAGCATTAACTTTTGAATATTTTTTATTGCTCATGTTTATCATTAAACTTTTGGAAAAAAAAAACAAACAGAAAATGAAAGGGAAAATACGTAACCCTGGATTATTAATGTTTTAGTCTCTCTCCTTCTTTATGTACACTTTATCATTGTCATGGTTACATATATAGAAAATGCTAGTAGTTTTGAGTTTGACGATGACAGTACAATAACAGACATCCGTGTGTTCTGTGAACATCTTTCCACAACACTAAATACATGCCTATATTTATCATTCTTTAGTTCTAATTATCATATATGGTACCAGTACCACATTGTAGGACTGTAGGATGTTTCCAGGTTTATTTTGCTCTTATAAGTAAGCTCTCAAAAAACAACAGACAGAAGCCTGGAACCCAGTAAGATGCTCAGTTATAAGAATCTCAAATAGAATTTGCACACAGCAGTACACGAGACGCGCTACCTCACAGACGTCAGGAGTTGGAGACAGAACAGAGGGCTGTGTGTTTGGAAGAATTGTAGAGAAGGGTCTGGAGCTGAGCCTAGGAGATAGCTGGGGTTTGTTTTGTTTGAATGTAAAGGAAGAACATTTCATGAGAGGGAAACAGCATGATTCCTTTTTATTTACGAAACAATAGCTCCTCTAACAATGATGCATGCAAAGCTTTTGTTGTGTTTTTTGGTTTTTTGTGACAATTGCCATCCAGTTCTATTAACCAGGGAGTGGATCTTTGTATATGTGGCGCATTTTACCAGAAACCTGGGATTGTTCTAATTCTTATTTCAGTGAATTTATATATCAAGCAGAAAGCTTTTATTACAAGATAGCTCATAATTTTCCAACAGGTATAAGTTCTCCTGGAGTTACCAGAAATTTTATTTCTCTTTTTGTAAATTTAATTTCACAGATACCAACATTTTTCTTTCTTAAAGAGGTCAGTGAACTATTTAAGGGAAATAGGAATCTTAATTTTGAAAGTTTTCAGTTGTTGTGTATGTGTGTGTGTTTGTGTGTTTTAATGAATCTGGCTGTGAAAAAAAATTAATAAATAAAAAAAATGAATCTGGCTGTGGCATAATTGAACCCATGTTTTCGCCACTAGAAAAACTTGATAGTTGAAAACGTTTCCAGTGTTCAGAGATTAGTTAGGAAAAGTATGTCCCTTTGTAGTTATTTGATGTATACCATAAGCGGCTATAAAAATACAGGTTTTCCCTGAATAGGACAAAGGCCATGGGTATTGCTTCATATTGAAACATAAAAAATCATTTTCCATGAGTGGTTAAACATGGAATACTACTCACCAATAAGAAGGGATAATAACTAAACTGTTGATACACGCAGCAACTTGGGTGAACCTCAACAAAATTATGCTGAGTAAAAAAAAAATTATGCTGAGGAGCCAATCTCAAAAGGATACACACCTCATGATTCTGCTGGTGTAACATTTGTGAAATAACATAATTATAAAGATAGGGAACAGATTAACAGTTGTCAGGAATTAGGGATGGGGGAGGAGGTGGTCTGGATATAAATGGAGCCTCATGGTGATTGTATAATTGTGCATCTTTTTTAAAAAAGATGTATTTATTAAAGAGAGAGAGAGAGGGCAGGGGGAGGGGCAGAGGGAGAGGGAGACAAGCAGTCTCCCCACTGAGTGCAGAGCCCTACTCGGGCCTCGATCCCAGGACCCCAAGACTACAAACCAAGCTGAAATCAAGAGGGGACGCTCAACTGACCCAGCCACCCAGGCACACCCAGTTGAGCATCTTGTGGTGGTGGTTATGCAAGGCTATGAATGTGATAAAATTGCCCAGAGTCACTCACTCACGGGGATGTGCGTTTGTGTGCATAACTGGTGACATCTGAATAAGAGTTACAGCCTGTAGCAATGTCAGTTGCTTGGCTATGATGCTGTACCTACCATCCTTGTATAAGATGTTACTACGATTGACAGAAACTGGAAGAAGTTTATGGTACTTCTCTGTACTTTCTTTACAACCTCCTGTGAATTTATAACTACTTCAAAATGAAACATTTGAAAAAGGGAAACAAACCTTTCCCAAGTGGACTAAGGACTAAGAAGAGACTACACAGTGGAGGGGGAGCTTTTCAGAAAGAAAATTACTTGACTGCACTCCTGATCTAGGCAGGCTCAATATTCCTAAGAAGGGAGTGAAGAAAAAAGAAAAGAATAGCATTGGGA